GACTACAGAGATCAGTCTTGTCGTGCCCCCCCCCCCCTTGAAAAAGGATGCTTTGGAGGGCGGGCTCTGTGGCACTGCACCCCACTGAGATCCCCGTCCTCCCCAGGCTCCATCCCCAAATCTCCAGGAGTTTCCCAGCCTGGATCTGGCAACGCTAGCCGGGGTCCTCGCAACCCCAGAGGGGCTAGTCATAGCCACTTTCCCACATGAATCAAGCCCAGTGTTCCTCAGGGTGTATTTTTACTGCAAAGAAGAAGAAGAGAAGAGGAGATTGGATTTATACCCTGCCCTTCACTACCCAAAGGTGTCTCAGAGCGGCTTACAAACTCCTTTCCCTGCCCCTCCCCACAACAGGCACCCTGTGAGGTAGGCGGGGCTGAGAGAACTCTGACAGAAACTGCTCTTTTTCAAGGACAGCCCTTATCAGAACTATGGCTTGCCCAAGGTCATCCAGCCAGGTGCAAGTGGAGGAGTGGGGAATCAAACCCGGTTCTCCCAGATTAGAGTCCACGCACTCAACCACTACACCAAATAGGCCACACCCAACAGCAGGAACTCATTAGCATATTAGGCCACACCCCTGATGGCACAACTCATTTGCACAACTCACTACCCAAAGGTGTCTCAGAGCGGCTTACAAACTCCTTTCCCTTCCCCTCCCCACAACAGGCACCCTGTGAGGTAGGTGGGGCTGAGAGAACTCTGACACAAACTGCTCTTTTTCAAGGACAGCCCTTATCAGAACTATGGCTTGCCCAAGGTCATCCAGCCAGGTGCAAGTGGAGGAGTAGGGAATCAAACCCGGTTCTCCCAGATTAGAGTCCACGTACTTAACCACTACACCAAACTGGCTCCAAACTACACAGTCCTGGCTGCATATTCCCAAAAAAACCTATTGAACAGCCGCCAAAAAGCAAAGTTATTAAAAATCAAAGGTTGCTTTCCTGCTGGAAATGAGACGTCTCCTCTCCCGCTTTAGCTCTGCAGAAGATTTTTGTTTCTGAGGAAAGGAGGGCATCGCATCTTCAACAACACCCCCCTTTAATTCTCCTTCCTCCCTTCACTATATATAACCGACATCTCCTAAAACATCCTGTAACTCTAAACCTGTGATCATATTTTTATGGCTGACCCGAGGGTGGAGGGCGGGCCTTTCTCCTCTCCGCCTGGACCACTTGGACTACCCACCCCGGTGTCAGTTGGAGAAAAATGCCCAGTCTCTTCTCAGTTGTTTCTCTTCAGCTTTCAAAACTGTGGTTTACTTGGGGGGGAGGCAAAGAGAGAGGCCCTTTCAGCTTCAGCTGAGGAAAAGGAGACCAGAAAACTCTTTCGGAAGAAGAAGAAGAATTCATCAAGTTGTCAACGTCGGATTGTTCCAGACGGGGACTTTACGTTTTGGGGTTTTTTCCCTCTCTTCCAAGCATTTTTGAAGAACTCACAAAGATGTTTCTTCAAATGCCGCTCCTCCTCTTGCTGATTGGGAGTGTCTCGTTTCAGGGGTTCGCTGAGGAAGGTAAGAAAAAGTTTATCTTCTCATATTTAGGGATGGATGAGAGATACAGATAGTTTCAGTTCAGCCGAGCAGCTGTTCGTCTCAATTCCCCTCCCGGCTTGAGATTTTAGCATTTTGATGATAGAAGTTCGGCAAGGTGTTAATTTGGGCTGGCGAGTGCTGAGTATTCAATAGCGGGGGGGGGGGAGCCAGTTACAACATCCTTCAGAGAGGCCCCCCAAAAATCAGGATTATTGCAAGAAATCAAAATAGTACCGAATTCATTTATTTTGGAATAATATGGAGCAGTCTGCTGGCATTTCGTCACGGCAATTTGTATCAGACATCAGAGAGATGAGAGAGCTAAAAGGGGGGAAAGAGAGTCAGTTTGGTGTAGTGGTTAAAAGGGGTGGACTGTGATTTGGAGAACTGGGTGTGATTCCCCACTCCTCCACATGCAGCTGCTGGTGTGACCTTGAGTCAGTTGCAAGTTCTCTCAGAGCTGTTCTCTTAAGGGCAGTCCTCGGAAGAGGTCTCTCAGCCCCACCTACCTCATGGGGTGTCTGTTGCGGGGAGGAGGGAAAGGGAAAGGGATTGTAAGCCACTCTGAGACTCCTTCGGGTCGTGAACGGCGGGGTATAAATATACTGGGTTCTAGACCCGTTCAGTGATCAGCTCATATTTATTTCGTGATTTCAGTTAACTCAACGACATCTCTAGCAGGACTGCAGCCCTGCTTAAAAGCGTGCAAAACACCACACCCCACACACACACCCGTGATAGGCTATTTACAAGATAACTCCCGTTCAATAGGTCCCTTCCAGGATCCTAGTAGTCTATTGTGTAGGTGTTCAAGCTAGGTCAGTTCTCTGGTGCACTTTGAGCTTAATACATAACAAAAACCAACTCTTCTTCTCCTCCTGTGATAGAAAGTCCTTCTTTGAAGTCCACCCTGACCTCGCTAGCCCAATCTCATCAGATCTCAGAAGCTAAGGAGGGTTGGCTCTGGACAGCCCTTGGATGGGAGACCACCAAGGAAATTCAGGGTTGCAACACAGAGTCAGGCAATGGCAAACCACCTCTGTATGTCTCTTCCCTTGAAAACCTTACTGGGTTGCCATAAGTCGGCTGTGACTGGACGGCAAAAAAGCAACAACATATTCACTCCCCCCTGCCCCAGCCGGCCGATTCATGTTACAAGATCTGCATGGCGGTCATGAGGACCTTCCACCAGATCAGCATTAGGATCTCCGTTCCAATCTGAAATGGCTCTGGGGAACTGCTGTGTGCCCCACCGGAGAGACTTACACACAGGGCCAGCCCCAGCTTATTGTGCACCCTAGGCGAAGATCCCTTCTGGCGCCCCCCCGTGCCGCCCTGTGCACCCACCTGGTCAGAGCCAGCGGGGGGGCTTTTGGCAGGGGGGCGGGTGCAGTTTGGCACCCCTCGTCAGGGCACCTGGAGCAGCTCACAAGCCACCGCTCCCCCAGCCCTGCTGCTGCTGCTGCTGCTGCAGCTGCCAGTCCCCGGCTGCGAGGAGGAGGAGAAGCGCTCCGTTGGGAAGCCGAGGGGGCAGGCAGGGAGAAGTTAGCCGGCCAAAGAGGCGGCGGGCAGCGGCAGTGATGGGGGTCACCCAGCCACGGAAATGCAAGGCTTGGGGGGGGCTTTTGGTGGGAGGGTGGGTGCAGTTTGGTGCCCCTAAGGGCTGGTGCACTCTAGGTGAACGCCTAGTTTGCCTAGTGAGCAAGCCGGCCCGGCTTACGCATCCCGCGGGCTACATGTAATTTCCCCCCCACGGCACCTGCAGCGGCTCCTCAGGGATGTTTCGGGCCACAAATGGCATGGGAGAGAAACCTTGAGTCGCCTCTCCCTGCGCACCGTGTTCCCGATCGGAACGGCACACCTGGGCATTCAGTTCTCTGCACAGCCCACCTCTGACGACAATCGACTTGTCTGCCACGTGGACCTTGTAGCAGGGTAACCGGCCAACAGTTCTGCATAGTTTAAAAAGGATCTGCTTAACCAGAGGCAGTAATAGGACCGGTTCTGGGTTTGGGGGCCGTTGGTAAGATACTACCCGGCCGGCGGGACCCTTCCCGGGCGTGGCCGTGATGCAGACACGGAGTTCAAGCAAGTGATTCGTGGCTGCCGGTCCTTTCCTGCCCACCTTTCCCAAGCCAGCGGTCAGCTGCTGCAGCTAGGATGAGCAGCCGCTGCTTGCTAACAGGTTCTCTCTCTGCGGAAGGTGGCCACCACTCCCGGAAGCTGTTGCTGCTCTCTTGGGACAGGTGAGTGAACAGTGGCCAGTGGCACACCCTTGCCGCTGCTCCTTGCCCGCTGGTGAACCCACAGAGGAGCAGGAAAGGGGAACACAGCCTGCATACTCAATACGGGAGAAGAGGCTTTGTCCTCCCAGTAGCTCCCATGGCGTTGCTTGTCCAAGAGGGAAAGCAGGCTGAGGTTCCTTCTGCACACCAGGGGCCCCTCCCAAAGCCAGGGGCCTCAGCGGCTGCCCAGTTCCACCTGTTCTCAATGCCGGCCCTAGACTAAAAGGGAATGTCCCTGGCTCAGCAGTACAGCACATCTTTTGGGTGCCGGAGGCCCCATGTTCATTCCACATCACCTCCAGTTCCAACCATCTCGAGCAGGAGAGCCAGGAAAGACTCCCTACTACCAGGGGTCATTTCCTGCAGGAGCGCACAGGAGCAGAGCTCCGGCAGTAAAGAGCCCAGGGGGCGGGCACATGCAACAAGCCCCGCCCCCTGCTCCCAGCAGCCCTCAGTCAGAGCAAGAAGCAGTCAGGTAAGCTGCAGAGCACCCCCCAGCCCCCGGTCCAAAACAGTCCAGTGTCACCTTTAAGACCAAGTTTTATTCAGGTACAAGCTCTCCCTCCTCTGCGAGGACAGATCTGCACGTTCCCCCCCCCCAAATAGCTAGCAATCCAAAACAGTCCAGTGGCACCTTTAAGACCAAGTTTTATTCAGGTAAAGGCTCTCCCTCCTCTGCGAGGACAGATCTGAACACCCCCCTCCAATAGCTAGCAACCCAAAACAGTCCAGTGGAGCCTGAGCGGTGGGTGTTGTCTTCTGACACACTTCCGGTGATGCCAGGGGGTGTGGCATATGCAAATGAGTTATGCTAATGAGTTATGCTAATGAGCTCCTGCACCTCTTTTTCTACGAAATGACCCCTGCCTACTACCATAACAAATTTAGAGACCAGGGGGCACCTTTAAGACCGACAAAGGTTTATTCAAGGTACGAGCTTTCGTGTGCAAGGCACACTTTTTCAAATACATTGGAACGGTGCATTTGAATTTGAGTGTATTGGGGAAAGTGTGCCTTGCACACGGAGGCTCCTACCTTGAATAAACCTTTGCTGGTCTTCGAGGTGCCCCTAGTGGACTCTAGATTTGTTCTGCTTCTTCAGACCAACACGACTGCCCCACCTGGATCTACCCCCACTACCATGAGATCTTGCCGGTCTGAGTCAGTGAGGCTGGGCTTGGAGGACCAACGACCTGATTCAGCACAAGGCGGCTTCATGCGTTCAACAGGAGTCTGGGTCAGACTTTCAAAGGGATTTGCAAACACTCCCCTAAACAATGCTCTCTGGTTTTGGGACAGTGCATAATCAACAGATGGGATTTGCTGCCGGCAGGACTCTGTGGTGGACGCAAGCTAAGATGGCTTGAAAGAGAAGTTAGGGAAAACTATCCATGGGACTTAGGGAACAAGGTTAAATGGAGCCTCCGGGGCTATTTTTGGGCAGGAACGCACAGGAACGGAGTTCCGGCTGGCTCCCGAGTTGGCCACGCCCAGCAGGAACTCATTAGCATAATAGGCCACACCCAACAGCAGGAACTCATTCGGATTGGCTACATTAGGGGTGTGTGGCCTAACATGCAAAGGAGTTCCTGCTACAAAAAAGCCCTGGGTTTTGACAACAAACAAGGTAAACAGAATAAGAAGCAAAAGGTGGGTGTGGCTGGATGACCACACTTCTGGTAACATGTGGGTATAGCCTAATATGCTAATGAGTGGTGCTGTCAGGGGTGTGGCCCAATATGCTAATGAGTTTCTGCTATTGGGTGTGGCCTATTATGCTAATGAGTTCCTGCTGGGCTTTTTCTACAAAAAAAGCCCTGGGGACAGTGCATGATTAACAGATGGGATTTGCTGCCGTCAGGACTCAGTGGTGGACGCAAGCTAAGATGGCTTGAAAGAGAAGTTAGAGAAAACTATCCATGGGACTTAGGCAACAAGGTTAAATGGAGCCTCCATATTCCAAGGAAGTGTACCTCTGCATAGCAACTGCTGGTGTCAGCCGCAGGGGAGTTTTGTCCTCCATACCCTGCTTCGAAGCTTTCCGAAGGCACCTGGTTTCTCCGTGCAGGAAACAGGATGCTGGACTAGATGGGCCACTGGTCTGATCCAGGAAGTCCCTTCTGGTCTCCAGCTTCAGTCGTCTAAATGGCCTTTGCTAGCAGGGAAAGCTTGCTGGAAAATAGCCCGTGAATAGGCCGAAGCATGGGAACTTGTGCATGGTCAAGTAGGGAATGAACAGCTTGATCTGTCGCGTGTGCTGCGTCAGACATCTAGGGAGGGAGGGGCTGCGGCTCAGCAGTAGAGCCTCTGCTTGGCATGCAGAAGGTCCCAGGTTCGATCCCTGGCATCCCCAGTTAAAAGATCTAGCAGTAGGTGATGTGAAAGACCTCCGCCTGAGACCTTTGAGAGCCCCGGCCAGTCTGAGTAGACAATAGTGACCTTGATGGACCGAAGGCAGCTTCGTGTGATGAACGTTGGAAGCCAGTTCCCCTGAATATTCAACATCTGATTCAAAGTTCTGCTTCTGAGCTGCTTGTGAGTAGATAAATTTAGATCCCGTCAAACTTTACCGCAGCCTAGGTGGCTGCAGCTTCTGGTCTTCTGAGGTTAGGTGGGTGACCAGTGGAGACAGGGGCTTCTCTGTTTTGGCACTTTGCCTCTGGGACGCCTTCCCCCACAGCTGTTTGCTTATTG